GTTGATAACGCTGGTTACCTAGACATTATGCATCAAACTTCACAATAACATTGATACGAAATATCAAATAAAACGATATCCCGGATTCGACCTACCATCTCTCACACAAATTCATCTCATCACAGAAATGCATTTCGATATTTATAATCGGTTATGATATCAATAATACGTATATTCAATCTAACATAAATATGCCTTACCCTACAATAACCTCACTAACTCGAGCAGGGTGCGTTAACTCCTAAATGAGACTCAGTTAGTAGTTCGTTATAAATGTGCATACATCGTGGTCATCGCACACATTAGTTACATTTTTATTGAGGCAATATTGCTGAATATTACAAAAAACGACAAAGTTCGTTGAGTGATAATACGGATATTATAATAATGATAATAGTATTATTACTACTAATGATGACGATAATGATCAGGGGGCGAAAATTATAGGGGTGCGACACCCTCCAATCACACAGTGGATTTCGCAGGCCAATCGAACATTTCGCAAGGCGCCAAGGAGAACTTTATTGCATCGCAGCAACCGCACAACAAGTGCTGCTAAGCTGTCTTGAAATCTGCAATCAGTTGTCAGTTTTGGAATTGTTTCAAACGCATACATACAGATATATATATATATATACATACATATATATATGATATATATATATATATATATATATATATATATATATATATATATATATATATATATATATATATATATATATATTATGTGTGTGTGTGTGTTGTGTGTGTTTGTGTGATATATATACGCCATGATCTGAATTTATATGTATGTATATGTGCATATACATACACAAACACACATGCATATACAGATAGATAAAGATATACAGATATATATACACAAACGCATACGTATATACAAGTATCTGTATATGCACACATACAGTATAAATAGAACTATGTAACAGTGAATAGATTCAAGTTTGAAAATCTAACGGCCTATGTGTGAACATAGACGCCAATCAACTAAGATCAGTCAACAATGTACATGGTCTGTGCGCAATCTACACGAAATTGCATTCCCTTTCAGCTACATGTTGATCGATAATGGCTTTATAATCATATCTTAATGTTTCCAAATTCTTTTTTTCTTTTGTGACAATATATAAAAATCTCCATGGTCCTGTTCATTGAATGTCATCTTTTCAGATTCAGTTTTTACTAGTGACATTGTAATGGCGTTATAGCTATTGGATAAGATCACTTTATGTAAAGATTCCAATTTTATGTTGGTGCTGTAGGCGAGATGATATTCGGTTTAATTCGACGTCAAATTTTCATATTGCTACATGGTCCCCCAGATTGGAAATCCTTGTTACATCTAATAAACTACATTTGATCAAGAAAGTAGTATATATCCCATCGTCTGTGAATAATATGGTTAGTTTCAGAAGTATCTTTTAATTCTTTGACGAATATCATGTTTGCTTTATACTTCTTGGGTATTTTATAATTCCAGATATTATTCAACTACTCTTCTTCTCGGCGCTAACTACTGGTTAATTGGCACACGAACAGGGTGGCTCCCTGTGACTGCCTGCTCAGCCGAGTTCCCTCGCCGAAGACCTCTCGCTGTTCCTCCGCAACGCCATAAATGCTGTCAGTGCACTTTCGCCACTATCAGTGTCCGCTTTCTTATCTTATCGTAAATTCCCAGCCATGTCTCCCTTCGCGAAGAGCCTCGAGAGAGAGCTGGCCTCGGTGTGTCTGGTGGGCAGCTCCGGCGACGTGGTCAAAGTCCCTCGCGGCCTGCTGGTCAGCGCCTCGCCCTGCCTGGCGGGCGCTCTGGACGGCTGCGCTTCGCCTGTGCTGCTGATGCCTGACGTGACGCCCAAGCAGATGGCCAGGTTGCTGCGACGCCTGCAGGGCGAGGTCCTGGAGGAGGCTGAGGAGGAGCTGTCGGACATCGCTTGGCGCTACAACATCGCCTTGCCTTCCTCCAACTCCGAAGTCCCGCTGCCTCTAAGAAGCGCCAAGTGGACTTCACCCCCGTCTTCACCCGAAAGTCATGCGAGCCTTCCAGAATTCCCTCGTGCGACGCCCTCGCCGCCCCAGAGGTTCTCCGCAACCACGCGCCCCCCAACACGCCAACGGAACATTTAGAGAGTGATCGGGCGACACTCTCCCCGCCAATGCACAGCCCCTCAGCCCCTTCGCGCCTTCGCCTTTTACTTCGCCGACCCCCGTCCTGCCAGCCTTTCCCCTCCTGCCCTACATGCTCGCTCGGGGCCTGGTCCCCTCTCCCCACCCGGCGGCGCTCCACGGCCTGCAGCACCTCCTTCCGCACTTCCCTGCCATCCTGCGTCCCCACCCTGCAACTCCTGCCGCAGGACAGCGGACGCCGGTCAGCGCCCCTCGACCCCCAGCCGAGGGATCCAGGGCCTACATCACGTGCGAGGACTGCGGGAAGGAGATCCTGGAGACGAGCATCCACACGCACCGCCGGCGACACCACAGGCAGCTTCAGGAGCCTGTACTGTGCTGCGGCGAGCGGTTCCCCACGCGGTGGCACCTCAACGCCCACCGTCGCGCCGCCCACTCTCGCTCCCGGAGACCGTCCGGATATATGGTTGGTGTTGATCGATGAAAAATAAATAATTTATGTTTCATTGCCTATTACTATACCGGTGACATATATGTGTACTTTGAATGTTATGAGGAAGGAAAACAAGTTTTTTTAAAAATGTAACTAATTAATTTTATGTTACTACTAACCATTTTTTACTCGCAATTGTATATTTTTGTATGTTCTACTACCCTTGCATGTAAACAAAAATACCGGCAATTGTGCTCATGTCATTTATCAGCACGTTGGGTAATGTAAGATTAGTAATTTATTTATTCGTCCAGCAGGCACTGATTGGGATGGTACTTATAAAGGCAGTCCAATCAGGGAATTATAGGCATATCGATGTCGAGTTATATTATCTATACATATATCATTCATGTATGTGTATATATATATTATATATATATATATATATATATAAGAGCTAATTCCTTGAGGTGACAATATGTGTCACCCACAGAACCAGTGTTTCTGTGGGGAAAAAAATCAAAATGCATGATTTTGATAAAAGCTGATTCTAAACATATTTCACTTGAAAGTAATTAACATGGACGAAGAAAAATGCAAAGTGGGCTTGGTGTTCACTCTTTAACGGTATGGCCTTAGAAAAAAAGCAATGTATCATCAATAGATTGACCTAAACTACATAAAAATCGCAAAGGCATTCAAAAATATACACTTTGAATAAAGTTTACTCACTAAGAATAAATCAAGAAATGTGAATTAATTTTCTCAACGTAGCTTGATTCAACCAATCAAGTAAAGCCTATGTTGAGCGCTTGTTAGGCTGTTACACGGCAACCACGGCAATTTCTTATGAATCATATCTATTGATAACAGATTGTTCATTTCACAAATAGTTATCTTTTTGTGCAGTGTATAATGATGATAATAAAAAAATGTGTATGTACATATACACACATACATACATATATATATATATATATATATATATATATTATATATATATATATATATATATTTATATATATATTTATATATTTTATATATTTATATATTTATATACACACACACACACACACACACACACACACACACACACACACATACATATATATATATATATATATATATATATATATATATATATATATATATATATATATAACACATATATATATGTATAATATATATATATATATATATATATATATATATATATATATATATATAATATATATATATATATATATATATATATATATATATATATATATATATAATATATATATATATATATATATATATATATATATATATATATATATATATATATGGTGTGTGTGAGTGTGTGTGTATGTGTATGAATGTACATGTATGTATGTACACCTAACATATGTGTGTGTGTGCTTGAAACACTATCCTGCATTTTTTACGAGACGAATACGTCATTGTATGCCATCAATCTGCTGATTAACAAATAATTATCATGAACTATATATGCCTTATCATCAGTCACCACTGACTTTCCGAATGCATCTTCGCTTCTATGTGGAGAATCTATTTCGCGTACAAAACTGGAGGTTTGCACTATGAATATTTTTTTATTATATATAAGGAAGTATTTGACATCTCGATTCCATTTCGGAGGACATGGTGTATTAGCCATCATAATAGATTTCATTCCTGGCCAAAAATACAGAATTAGAGTGTTAGCATTTGTAAACGGTACTCCTAATATACAAATACTGTTTACAATCGTCAGGGTTTGACCATTATTTGGAAGATATCTGTTTGGCAATCAATTTTTCATGTTACGGCAATATGATACAAAGATATATTATACATGTAAAAGATAAGTCTGAATAATACTGTAATTTATTGAAAAAGTAAATGGATTTATTGGTGTGATGAGCAAGTTAACACTCTGGATGGAGAATAGCGATGCAATAGATTATAGACTTGATATACAGAGAGAAAAGAAAAAAGCGTTAAAATTAAGGTTATTCGTTTTATCATTTGTAAACACATTTCGAATGAATACAAAAGAGGCCCATTAGATTCGCAGCAAATACTTGTATTGTTAACTATCAAAAGACTGCATGATATGATCATATGCAATTTAGAATGTCTAGATCACGTCTCCTCTTTGAGTTTATATTACCATTGCATGAAATAATGTTTAATTCACATCTATTACTGATGGTCAAAGCTATCGAATGCCGTGATTTCATCAGAGAATTACTGTGTGCTAAAAAATATAATGCGGTTCTTTTGAATGTCCTGTCTTTTGTGCGCACGGAATTTCTAAATTGTGTATTTAACAAACGTACACAATGAAGTATGCGGTAACATTATCTATGAACATTTTGCAAGAAAAAAAAAACACTGGATGCGAATAGTGACAAAATCTGTTAGTATTTTTTTTCTTAAAGTCATGCGGACA